GATGTAATCTATGCAGAAATAGAAGTATAATGATGTACACCTGAAATTTATACAATGTTATAAACCAATGTTACTGCAATAAACAAAAAATTAAAATAAATAAATAAATTGGTTGCATTTCTATATTCTAATAATGAACTAAGAGAAAGAGAACTCAAGAAGACAATCACATTTACAAATGCAACAAAAAGAATAAAGTATCTAGGAATAATTTTTGTTGTTGTTGTTAGGAAGATCAGCCCTGAGCCAACATCCATACCAATCCTCCCCTTTTTGCTGAGGAAGACCGGCTCTGAGCTAACATCTATTGCCAATCCTCCTCCTTTTTTTCCCCAAAGCCCCAGTAGATAGCTGTACGTCATAGTTGCACATCCTTCTAGTTAGTGCATGTGGGATGCGGCCTCAGCATGGCCGGAGAAGCGGTGCGTTGATGTGTGCCCGGGATCCGAACCCAGGGTGCCAGTAGCGGAGCGTGCACACTTAAGCGCCAAGCCATGGGTTGGCCCTCTAGGAATAAATTTAACCAACGAGGTTAAAGACCTATACAATGAAAACTATTAAGACATTATTGGGGCTGGCCTGGTGGTGCAAGTGGTTAAGTGCACGCGCTCCGGTGCGGCAGCCCGGGGTTCGCTGGCTCGGATCCCAGGTGCGCACTGACGCACTGCTTGTCAAGCCATGCTGTGGTGGCGTCCCATATAAAGTAGAGGAAGATGGGCATGGATGTTAGCCCAGGGTCAGTCTTCCTCAGCAAAGGAGGATTGGCAGATGTTAGCTCAGGGCCGAGCTTCCTCACACACACACACAAAAAAGACATTATTGAAAGAAATCAATGATGACATAAAGAAATAGAAAGATATCCCATGTACATGGAATGGAAGAATAAACATTGTTAAAATGTCCATACTACCTAAAGCAATCTACAGATTCGATGCAATCCCAATGAGAATCCCAATGACATTCTTCACAGAAATAGAACAGAGAATACTAAAATTTATATGGTGCAACAAAAGATCTCAAATAGTTAAAGCAATCCTGAGAAAAAAGAACAAAGATGGAGGCATCACAATCCCTGTCTTCAAAATATACTACAAAGCTATAATATTTTTTGTGTGTGAGGAAGATCAGCCCTGAGCTAACATCTGCCAATCCTCCTCTTTTCGCTGAGGAAGACTGGCCTGAGCTAACATCCGTGCCCATCTTCCTCCACTTTATATGGGACGCCACCACAGCATGGCTTGACAAGCGGTGCGTTGGTGCGCGCCTGGGATCCGAACCCCTGGCCGCTGCAGCAGAGCACGCACACTTAACTGCTACGCCACCAGGCCGGCCCCAAAGCTATAATATTTAAAACAGCATGGTACTGGTACAAAAACAGACACACAGATCAACGGAACAGAATTGAGAGCCCAGAATCTATGGACAGCTAATTTTTGACAAGGGTGCCAAGAACATACAATGGAGAATGGAAAGTTTCTTCAATTGGTGTTGGGAAAACTGGACAGCCCCATGCAAAAGAATGAAAGTAGACCATTATCTTGTATCATACACAAAAATTAACTCAAAATGGATTAAAGACTTGAATGTAAGACCTGAAACCATGAAACTTCTAGAAGAAAACATAGGCAGTACACTCTTCGACATCGGTCTCAGCAGCTTATTTTCAAGCACCATGTCTGACCAGCCAAGAGAAACAATAGAAAAAATAAACAAATGGGACTACATCAAACTATAAAGCTTCTGCACAGCAAAGGAAACCATCAACAAAACGAAAAGACAACCTAACAATTGGGAGAAGATATTTGCAAACCATACATCTGATAAGGGCTTAATCTCCAAAATATATAAAGAACTCATGCATCTCAACAACAAAAAAACTACCAACCCAATTAAAAAATGGGCAAAAGACCTGAACAGACATTTCTCCAAAGAAGATATACAGATGGCCAACAGACACATGAAAAGATGTTCAAAATCACTAACTATCAGGGAAATGCAAATCAAAACTACAATGAGATATCACCTCACGCCTGTCAGAATGGCTATAATTAACAACACAAGAAATAACAAGTGTTGGAGAGGATGTGGAGAGAAGGGAACTCTCATACACTGCTGGTGGGAGTGCAAACTGGTGCAGCCACTATGGAAAACAGTATGGAGATTCCTCAAAAAATTAAGAATAGAACTGCCATACAATCCAGCTATTCCACTGCCGGGTATTTATCCAAAGAACATGAAAACATGAATGCATAAAGATACATGCACCCCTGTGTTCATTGCAGCATTATTCACAATAGCCAAGACTTGGAAGCAACCTAAGTGCCCATCAAGTGACGAATGGATAAAGAAGACGTGTTATATACACACAATGGAATATTACTCAGCCATCAAAAAGGTGAAATCCTGCCATGTGCGACAACATGGATGGACCTTGAGGGTATTATGCTAAGCGAAATAAGTCAGAAAGAGAAAGTCAAATACCGTATGATCTCACTCATAAACAGAAGATAAAAACAACAACAAACAAACACATACCAGACAGAGATTAGATTGGTGGTTATCAGAGGTGAAGGGGGAAGGGAGGAGAGCGAAAGGGGTGACTGCACACATGTGTATGGTGATGGATGGTAATTAGTCTTTGGGTGGTGAACATGATGTAGGTTTCATACAGAAATCGAAATATGATGTACACCTGAAATTTATATAATGTTATAAACCAATGTTACTGCAATAAAAAGGACAAAAAAATAAAAACAGTACAAAATATATAGAAATAATATCCATCAACCATGTATTGCTGAGCTAGCATATGATGGGACTAGTTTAAGGGGCTGGACGAGGAGGAGGTTACAAATTCCTTTTGCTGGAGCACACTGGTGTCGATAGGTGGCTGGGGGATAAATATGCAGTTTTTCTCTGGGCTGCGAACTTAATTGGAGTGTATCAGGCTCAAGTCATTAACACAGAATTTGTGCCCTCTACGCTAACTGGGCAATATGTGGCTTAGACATCATAGCTCACCACCAATATCGATAAACCCTCCTTATTTTGCTTGGGATCGGAAAGGAAAAAGTGTGTGTTTGTGTGTGTGTGTGTGTGTGTGTGTGTGTATACGCCTACATACCTACATGTACACATAAACATATAAGTATATAAAATTACATAGGCTTTGTTGTTCATATGGCTGCTCAGCGAAATGTGTCCCGTGGCCTGTCGTCCTTTCCTTCAGGCATTTCCACTCGAGGCCGAAGAGAGCACAAGGTCTCTAGTACAGCTTAGACTTGAGGAGCCTCACTCGGAAGTGGAAGAGTGCGCGGACTCGGTTGCCTCACCGGCTACTTTATACCGATACACACATCCTGTCCTGTAGGCAGGACCACCTAGGTCTGGGGAAGGGATTTGCCGACGTACCCGGAAGTGTTTTCAAGGTTCCTTCAGGTTCGGGTAGTGGCGCGGCGGCGGGTTCTGGGAGCCAAGGCAACCGAGATCTTCCCAGGCTCGCGAGAGCGCCCCCTTCTCCCGCTGCTGCGGGGACCCAGCGGCAGCGATGGCTCCGGTTTCCGGCTCGCGCAGCCCGGAACGGGAGGCCTCGGGCTCTGGGGGGAGGCGTCGCAGTCCGTCGAAGAGCCCTAAGCCCAGCAAATCCGCCCGCTCCCCGCGGGGCCGCCGCTCTCGCTCGCACTCTTGCTCTCGGTCCGGGGACCGGAACGGCCTCAGCCATCAGCTGAGTGGCCTCAGCCAAGGCTCCCGAAACCAGTCCTACAGATCCCGCTCGCGCTCCCGCTCCCGCGAGCGGCCCTCTGCGCCGCGGGGCAACCCTTTCGCTTCTGCCTCCTCGTCCGCCTATTATGGCGGCTACTCACGCCCCTACGGGAATGACAAGCCGTGGCCTAGCCTCCTGGACAAGGAGAGGGAGGAGAGTCTACGGCAGAAGTGAGTGAGACGCACCTTCTCTTCCACGAGCCCACCTGTCATCGGAGTCCGATTTATTGTTCATCCCGCTTCTGACTATTCGCATTTCGCTCTCTCTGCCTGCCTTGCGCCCATTTTCATCCCTTCCTTCAATCCACCCAGGACAACACCTTATTCGCCCTCTTCTTCCCTTAGGTTTTCACCCATCCTCGAGCCCCTTCATGCAGTGCCCTGGTCTCCCGCTACCCCATTCTGCCTCCTGGCTTGTAGCGGGCATAGCCAAGAGTCTCAGACCTACCGAATTTTATAGCATTTTCTTGGTTGTGTCGTTGTCATTCATGAGCATGTTTTTATTCCCCACTAGACTGAGCTCATGGAAAGGAGGAGCCCTATTTTATTGCTCACAAAACTCACAGTGCCCAGCACTTTGTAGGCGCAACCATTGCTTGTTGAATGATCAGACAGGTTTGAGATGATAACAGGATATGTAAGTGGAAATGCTTTGTAACAAGTTGAGAAAGGTTGAGATTAAGTTAGATTAGGGAGGAGGAAAACCTCTGAGACAAGATGATTGAATGAATGTAGGAACTGTAAATTAGGCTACGTTGAGAAAGGTCTTGTTAATAGGTCTCAATCTTGACCATGAAAAATGAGGTCAGAGTGAGATCAGGTCTCCTCTAATGAGAGTGAGCATTGGAGTGAAAAATGGATAGTTTAAGAAGGAGAAAGGAAAAGGGTTATAATTATTGCTGTGTAAGCCTTAATATCTAATGCTTATTGAGTGTTAAATTATGTCAGGCACTGTACTATGTGCTTTACAGACACTATGTGTTAAAAAACAAGAAATTTAAAAGTAGTATTACAAGCACTGAGGCGCAGGTTAAGTTTCCAAGAGCTGGAAGGTGTCTTCAAGAATCTTTTTCTTCCAGGAGTGGGAAGTAATAAAGCACAGTAATGAAGAGGACAAGCTCCAGAATGAGACTGCCTGAGTTTGAAGCCGTGCTTTGCTACTTAATAGTTTCGTGACCTCTCTGAGCTTCATTTCTTCCCCATTTAAAAGGGGATAAAATTAGCAAGAAGGCTTTTAGAGTTGTAATGATTTAGTGCCTGGAGCATAATAGAGTCTTTAAGTGTCAGCTGTTAGAGTTTTGTGCATTGGAGCAGCAACAGTACAAACAGGCCTGAGTTAGGTTGGAGACCTACCTCTCCAAATTAAATTTTTCAGAAAGTTACCCCTGGCTGTGTCAGTCAAAAAGCAACCAGCTTCTTAGTGGACAATCTTCACCAAAAGATGTCGGAACTTCTTGGATGAAATTTGCATTTGTCCGTTTAGAAGAAAATTTAACTTAAGGGTACACATGAAGCCAGGTGGCAGCAGGGGTGAGAACTTCATTGCTTGCTCTTTCCAGCCTGTCAAGCATTCTTCCCCTATATGCGTATATTCCAGGTTCTGTTATAAGTATGTCCTCTTTTAGACTGTCTGTTTCTTCAAGTGGGAAACCTGAGTCTGACGCTGCATGATTATACCTTTTCCTCTGAATAAAGAAGTAAAAAGATAGTTTGTTCAATCAAACCAATTATATTTATTTTGTAAGGTTTTATTTTTTTAAAATGAAGATACAAGCGGCTAAACTTGGAGGAATTGAGCCTTAGTTTTTTTGTGGTTTGTTTATGAGTAATAGCAAAAATTAAAAGAAGAAATCACAAACATAAAACAAGAAAGAAATTTTAGTGTCCTCCAAGAGTAGATGGAGAATGTACTCCTTTCCCAAAAAGGAATTAAAGAGAAAACGAACCCTGTGTTTCACTGAGTACAATTTTTGTCAAATAAAACTTTTCTTTCATTTTCAGAGCCCCCTTTATTTTCTACTTCTAATGCTTCATTTTTAGTTTCTTCATTAATTCCTGAGTTTCTGAAAATGGAAGATTTGACCAAATCAAAAATAAAGACTTCTCTTTCATAAATATGTGTAAACAAATGAAATTATTTGCAAATGTAAAACTGTTTCTGTCACATACTGGAAAAGATGAAATGAGCAATTAGGAGCTATGTCATGCGTGCAGCAGAAGGGATGCACTTGACAGCCTCCCAGGCTGCATTTCTAGCCCGGCTGTTCAGGCTGTCTGTAATCTGTACCATTTGATAGTGCTATCAGAACATCAGATCCTAAGTGTTGAGTTTACATTTAAACCAAGTTTGTATTAATTTAAGTTTAAAATGTAAAGGGAAAATAGGATTTAACTGCACTCCTTTGATTTTGATTATATATTTAGGAAACAGAATTTAGCCATGGAGTTATAATTTACATACCTGTATCTTCTAGGAGATTAAGTGAGAGAGAGAGAATTGGAGAATTGGGAGCTCCTGAAGTATGGGGACTTTCTCCAAAGAATCCAGAACCAGAGTAAGTGATTAAAAATATATATTTTTTTAAATGTAACGCTTAAATCCAGAATCTGTTGTCAAAAGTTTTGTTAAGTGAAGTACAGCTCACATTTAAGTACAGCTCGCGTTTTTTCTTCTTTCCTGTGATTTATGCTATTCTACCCCTTAAGTTTTAAAAACACGGAACATACCTAAGGATTAAAACATGTTACTAGTGGATTTTTAGCACGCTAATTGTTCTCTTTAAATTATAATTCATGGGGTGCTAATTTCCTATTCATAGACGGGTTCAGTGTTAAATAATACATTTATATTAATTTGAATTATTTTTTCTCAACCCAGTAGCAGATCACATGTCGGATGTTACATTACAAAGGGATTTTTTTTAATGAATATACCAATATGGTTTTGTTTAGTTTTCCTGTATCCAATACTATCTGAGGGCTTAATGCTTTTTTTTTTTCCTTATTTTTTTTCTCTTTGGTGCTATTCGTAAGCTGCTGCTTCCCTCTCCTCTGTTTCTTTGTCTACTTTAGGTTGAGCTGAGATAATGCGCTTAACAGGTAAACCTGTAATTTGTGACAGGGTGATAAAGCATTATTATCTGAAACTTGTTCTTTTTTATTTTTAAAGATTGTTTTAAATTATTATTTTTGGGCCGGCCCCGTGGCTTGGCGGTTGAGTGCACACGCTCCGCTGCTGGCGGCCCGGGTTCGGATCCCAGGCGCGCACTGAGGCACCGCTTCTCCAGCCATGCTGGGGCCGCATCCCACATACAGCAACTAGAAGGATGTGCAGCTATGACATACAACTATCTACTGGGGCTTTGGGGGGAAAAATAAATAAATAAAATCTTTAA